ATCCCCAGTTGGGGGCATGCAGGAGCCAGCCGGTCGATGTTTCTCATCAATGTTTCTATCTCTCTATCCCTCACCCTTCCATTCTCTCTAAAAATCAATTTAAAAAATTTAAAATTGGAAAATCTTGATTCACACATGATTTGGCTAATTTCCATAAATAGGCTCTTAAATATATTTATTTTTAGTACAAATAAATATTTTAGTACATCAATGATGGTAATAAAATTTCACAATTCTCCAGCCCAGATGAACCAATGACAAATTTGGAATTAAAAGTATCTGCCTCCCTAAAACAAGCACTTGATAAACTTAAACTGTCATCTGGGAATGAAAAAAACAAAGGTAAGATTTTGTTTTGTATGTTGCAATTATTTTTTGTATAATTATCTAAAAGCGAAAGGAGCTGTATAATTTACTGAATATAAATATAAAAAAATATATATGTAGCACATTGTAGTAAAGAACTTATTTTTTTTTTAAATGCCAGTAATACCTCAGAATGGGTATGTCGTTTATTTAAAAAATTAAATTATTTTTCTTCTTCAATTCATTATTTTTTAAACAGTAAGATAAATTTCTTTGATGATTGTAAATGTTACCTTGTACACTAGATAAAATATATTCTCTGACCTATACTTGATACTCATGGGAGGAAAGTACCCTTTCATGATTTCTCTTTCAAACAAGTTAAGATATTGGATCTAATACTGTATTAAGAATAGAAATGTGTCCCATAGCCTTTTAGAGCTATCGGTAAAACCTAATCACAGTAGTCGGCATATTAGCTTTTTAAATACACGAAAGGTCACATAGAAAACTTAGGTACCTAAAATGCTTAATTTCAACACGTTAATTTTTTGAATTAGATTATTTTTAAAAAATATTTGTTTTATGGAAATGGTTACTTTTTAAGAATGGTACTATAGTAAAGTGCTCTGTTTTAATGTTTCTCGTTTGATTTTTTTGTTTCAGAAGAAGACAGTGATGAAATTAAGATTGGGACTTCATGTAAAAATGGAGGGTGTACAAAGGTATTTATTGTAAAATTTGTATTGAGTCATAGAAGTAAAATATTAATGTTGGGAAAAAGTGTAATTTCATAAATCAGTTCAACACACATTTGTTTGCCTATTACATGTTGGACACTGTACTATGACTGTGGCTTGTGAACATTGATAAGGGACTGTCTGAGGAGCATATCTGATAGAGTCATAGGATTAAATACAGTGGAGCCTTGACTTATGAGTTTAATTCGTTCCGAGACCGAGCTCGTTAAGGAGCTCGTTAACTCAAATTACTCTATCAACTAAATGCAAAAAATCGGCTGAGAGACAGCTGGTATCTCAAAAAACTCGTTAGTCGAGACACTCTTAAGTCAAGGCCCCACTATAATCCTAATTTAGTCAGCACTCACTGAGAGTTTACTATGGGCCAGACATTGTTTAAGGTCTAGGAACATAGTAGATTAAAGCAGAAATCTCTGTTCTTGTGAACCTGTAGTCTAGTTTAGAGGAAAGAACAACAGATAGGTAATTAAAATGAATTCAGATAGTTATGAAGACAAGGAAATAGAAGGAAGCTATTTTTTTAATTTTTTTAAATATATTTTACCGATTTTTTTACAGAGAGAGGGGGAAGGATAGAGAGTTAGAAACATCGATGAGAGAGAAACATTGATCAGTTGCCTCCTGCACCCCCCCCACACACACACACCGGGGATGTGCCCACAACCGAGGTACATGCCCATGGAATCGAACCCGGGACCCTTCAGTCCGCAGGCCAATGCTCTATCCACTGAGCCAAACTGGTCAGGGCAGAAGGAAGCTATTAAAATCAGAATGTCAGGGAAATCTTGTATGAAGTGGTGACACTAAGTCAAAAATCTGAATTATGTATGGATGAGTTAAGTAAATCTTGGAGTAGACTCGGGAGTAGTATGTATAGAGTCTTTAGAGCTTATCTATTGAAAGAACTATGAGAAAGGTCAGTGGGGCTTGGACAAAGGTGTGTAAGTAAGTAGTGGAAAAGAGGTGGGCAACATTATGGAGGTCCTTAAAAGCCACAGTGAGGTGTTTGGGCTTTATTCTAAGTAAAATGGGAAGCTATTATCTGTTTTAAGGAGGGGTTTAAAAAATTTGTCTTTGGCTGCTTAAGTGGCAAGTATAATGGGGCAAGAGTGAATTTGAAGAAGGAAATCTAGGATACTATTGTGGGAGATCAAGCAGTGAGACTGGAAAGTATGTTCTTTAGAAGTGTTTAAATGTGGAATGTAATCAAACATCTCAGTGAGGCTTTTCCCCACCTGTTCTATGTAAAATTGCACGCCCTCCAGCATTTCCACTCTTTTTTTTCTCCTTAGTCCTTAACACCTTATGCCATACTACTTATTTTACGTATTTATTTTGCTAACGTTTCATCGAGCTTTCCATTCCCCTCCTTACCTTAAAGTTTACAAGGAGATGATTATATTTGTTTTGCTCTTTGCTGTATTTTCCGTGCTTAGAGCAGTGCCTGGCACATGGCAAATGTATGTAGAATGAATGATATCTTGAAGTATTAGCAGGGCTTGCTAATGAACTGGAAGTGAAGGAAGGGGGCTTGTGTCTCTCGCATGTAGGTGGTTAGGGGAACACCGATGAAGAAAGAAGACAGGGTTAGGGGGAGCAGGTTTATAGTTTATTCTCATATTAAGTTTGAGATCACCTTGCTCATTTAGGGATGGAAATATAAACATCTTCACAAAGGTAGAAGTAGTAGATGATAATTCTTGGGGTAGGAGAGTCAGTGCAAGTGGTAGGATAGTGAAGAAAGAGACACACAAAGAAGATGTCCTGGATGAATTTTGAAAAACAATGATAGTTCTGTAAATGGACAGAAAGGAAAAGGATATACAGTGGGGCCTTGACTTACGAGTGTCCCGACTAACAAGTTTTTGTAGATATGAGCCGTCTCATTGCCTAAAATCGGGTGATGATCATGAGAAAAGTTATTAGCAAGTCAAATTGATATTTTTAAGTCAAATTGACAGTTTTTGATAGACTGAATATGATTGGAGGGAGAGGAAAAATCGAAGAGGACATACAGAATTTTGTTTTGGGAGATTGAGTTGATATGGTGCCATTAAATAAGGTCGGAAGACAAATAGGAACCTATAGCAACAATGGGGTCCAGATCTTCCAGACAAATCCTGGAGATATACACACACACACATACATACATACATACATACATACATACATACATAGGTCTGCAGCTCATTTTACCCTTCATAGGGATAAGAAATCATCATTCTAGAACTTGCAGAATTGTTTACTAGGTTTTCCATATTAATTCATAATGCCCACACAGACTTTACTATGCACATAAATCATACTGTAACTAACTACATTTCTGATGAGATTCCTAATCTCTTGGTTTTAATATTGTTCTGTAAATTTAATTACCTCAATATGCTTGGACGTGACTTCCTACCCAAAGGTCTGAAAGCATATTAATACATCCTATTGCCTACTTTTCTATTTGCCTTTTTCATAGGGGACTGAAACGTAAGCCTATTCAAACAGGAATCATTTTTCATTTCTTACTGAAATGGCCTGGGTGAATTTGTGACTGTTCTAGGTTATGTTATTTCTTGAGCATTTTCACAGTTCATAAAGGTGCCCAATACTACAAACATGTGTGAAATGTAACTGAGGTCTGAAGCTAATATTTTTTTTCTTTTCTTTTTTTTAGACATATCAGGGTCTACAGAGTCTAGAAGAAGTCTGTGTATATCATTCTGGTGTACCTATTTTCCATGAAGGGTAACTTACTAATTAAAACTTTATGGTAGAGGTTAGAAAAGTTAATATGCCTTTAAACATTATTTGCCATGCAGTAAATTAGATATTTTTATTTATATTGTGTAATCTTTACAATAATCTAGAAATGTGGGCTTTGTCTTTTTACTCATGAGAAACTGAAAAAGTATTACAGTTAAGTGGCCATTGTGACTCAAACCTCATGTTTCTATTTTATATTTTAATGTGATACCTATTTTAGCTGAATAGGGTTTTTCTGGTGTGTTTTTGTTTTTTGGGTTTTTTTTGAAGAACCATTCTGTGCGTTTATAATTTTTGACCTTGGGCACTAATGACACCGACATTGTGGTGCGCAAAAAGCCATGCTTGTCTACAGCCCTCAGTTGAGACCCTCTCATTATTTACCTTGTAGTTTATAGAAAAACTGTTGAAATCATCCATTCTGTTTCCACTTTTCTTCAGAAATCAAGCCCAAAGTTCTGTAATTTTTGCCTTCTCGTGTTAGATTTTTCTGAAGTATGTAATAGTGGGTTTCATTATTCACAATCCCAGTACTTTGGGATTGACCTTCACAGATGTGCAGACATTAGTTTTTAGTTTGTTTGCATGTTTTCATTTTCTTGGGTTATTAAAATGTGAGGATATAAACCTTTGGTCATAGCACGCTTTGGTAGCTTCATGAGGACCCTGGGGCTATCAGCGAAAAGCTGATTTGTAATTTTGTGGTGTTTTTAAGCACCTTTACTTAGGAGATCCAAAATTGTTATAATAAATGGCATTGTGGTTTTAGACTTATTAGTCTTTTGATAATATTAACTGGTTACTTAGATTTAAGATACTAAAGTTGCACACTTACTGATTTTTTTAAAATAACTTTTGTCACTACGATACTTCTGTACTTAATTGGTTGTGAGATTTTATTTCTGAAATTTTTCTATGATAATTTAAAGGATGAAATACTGGAGCTGTTGTAGAAGAAAAACTTCTGATTTTAATACTTTCTTAGCCCAAGAAGGCTGTACAACAGGGAAACATATGTGGACGGCAAAAGATGCTGTAAGTAACCTTTTCAAGATAACATATTAAAGTATATTCATCTGAGTTATTTTTTAAATTCTGAGATTATCCTGTCTTTAGAGTAAAAATAAAAGTTTGTCTCTCGCCCTAACCAGTTTGGCTCAGTGGATAGAGCGTCAGCCTGTGGACCGAAGGGTCCGGGGTTCGATTCCGGCCAAGGGCACATGCCTGGGTTGCGGCTCAATCCCCAGTGCGGGGTGTGCAGGAGGCAGCCGATCAATGATTCTCTCTCATCGTTGATGTTTCTATCTCTCTCTCCTTCTCTCTTCCTCTCTGAAATCAATAAAGAAATTTAAAAAAAAAAAAAAGTTTGTCTCTCTCTCACACAGTTTTGATGGGCCTAAAAACTAAAATTAATCTGAGTCCAACTCCCAGAGCATGCCCTTTGTCAGCATAGTCATTGTATCTATTGATGCCAGTATGTAGGTTTTTATGAAATACTTAATTAAGCCTGGAGAAATTTAGAGCATATTTTTCTGTAATTTCGTGTTTTATTCACACTTTTTTAACAAAAATCATTTTTCTGCTCATTTGATGTTATCGATCATTTAGACCTCTGGTTGTCTTTGGCTTCTTTAGAAGTTCATTCAGCCATTTACAGATGCACACACACTTCATCTGGTGGCCAAAGAGGAGGAGTGCAGACTTGTTGGAACTGTTTTGAATGCCTCTGCTTATAGAAAAAAGAAAGCATCAATTCCTACTTCCCTAGACAGCTTTTTAAAAAGACTTGGGGCTCTGCAGATAATTCCCCCAAATCCCAGTAAGCTGTAAGAAGGCAAGCAATTTATTGCTAAATAACTGTTGAATAGCTATTACTAATGTATTTTGTAATGTAATTAGATTTATGTGCTGCATTGGCACTAATAAATTGAAGGCAAACCTTTTCAGTATATGTCTTTTAGCTTAAAAAGTAATTGTAAATTTTCGGATTGCTGTAGGGATTCATTTCTTCTGCATTTGAGTATTCTATATTTCCTGCCTTTTAATAGCACATGGCTGGAGGTTATAAATACACGGTGGGACAAAAGTAGGTTTACAGTTGTGATTATGTGAATACAGAATTTATTCTTGTATTATTACTTATTAATTGTTGTATTATTTTCATATGAACAACTATAAACCTTTTGTCCCACACTATATATCCCTCAAATTTTAATTCATTTATCACAAAACTCCTAGGTGTGTTTTATTAGCAAAAAAGTGAAGTCTCCTTGTATTTTCTACAAGGCCCAAAAATTTGAAAGATTTCGTTTGAAAAAATAAAATTGTTGTTTTTTATTATATGCAAAATTTTTCAGAATAGAACCCTTGATGAGATTTTTTGTAATTTAAAATAGCTTTATTTTTCCTGTTTATAGAAAAAAGTAAGCAGAATTATAAAATTCTGTGAGAGAAAAGTTCAGATTGTTTAAAAATTTGCCATTTTAAGTGTGAAATTCAGTACCCTTAAGTACATTCACAATGTTATGCAATCATCCCTGCTATCTTTCTCTAAAAGTTTTTGATCCAAACAGAAACTGTATACCACTGAATCAATATGTCCCCATTCTGCTTCCTCCCCCGCTCATTGGTAACCTCAACCTACTTTTTATTTCTACAAATTAGTCTATTCTAGATATATAAGTGGAATCATTCAATATTTGTCCTTTTGTGTCTGGCTTATTACAGTTGGCATAATATTTCCAATATTCATCCACACTGTAGCATGTTTTAATACTTCTTTTTTGTGGCTGAATAATACTCCATTGTGTGTGTGTGTATGTATGTATATATCTCACACCTTGTTTATTCATTCATCTCTCCCTTTTTTAAAAAATATGTATATTTTAAATTGATATCAGAGAGGAAGGGAGAGGAAGAGAAAGATAGAAACATCAATGATGAGAAAGAAACATCAGTTGGTTGCCCCTTTGTGCGCCCTCTACTGGGGATCGAGCCTGCAGCCTGGGCATGTGCCCTAATTGGAAATCGAACTGTGACAATCTGATTCATGGATCAATGCTCAATGACTGACCCACTGATCAGGCTCTTCATTCATCTCTTGATGGACACTAGGGTTGTTTTCACTTTTTTGCTCTTGTGAATAATACTACAATGAACATTGGCATGCAAGTATCTGTTTGAGTCCCTTTTTCAGTTATTTTGAGATATATCCAGGGTTTTCATTATTTTTTAATGCATTACATATATCAGGTATTAAGTGTCTACGCCAGTGGTCTAATGGCCAAAAAAAAAATGTAAGTGAAAAAAGTAATTTAAATTCAGTTAGTATAATTGTACCAAAATGTAAACATTGTTTTTTATAACTATGGTACCTCACAATTTCCTGCATTATTTGACTAACCCTCATTTATAAAACAAATCACAATTTGTCTTTTTAAAATAGTTGCTGATAACAGTAATGTACCACTAGCAGATAATAATTTCCACAATTATAATTAATCAAAATATTACTTCCAAAAATTCTCACCTTTTTCTGCATGTTATTATGAGAAGAAAATAATTATTCATTTACAAATAGTTATGCCCTAGCCAGTTTGGCTCAGTGGATAGAGCATCAGCCTGTGGACTGAAGCGTCCTAGGTTCGATTCCAGTCAGGGGCACATGACCAGGTTGCAAGCTCGATCCCCAGTAGCGGGCCTGCAGGAGGCAGCCGAACAATGATTCTCTCTCATCATTGATGTTTCTATTTCTCTCCCTCTCCCTTCCTCTCTGAAATCAATAAAATATATTTAAAACAAAACAAAAAAAACATATAGTTGTAAGCAGTCAATTAGTTTTCCAAATTCCAATTTGTAGAAAATAAAGATTCCTATGCATGAGATTAATATATTATCTGGTTATACCACTAAGCAAATGTCTCTCACTTCAGTCTTCAAAAATGTTTTTAGGGCTGTACTTAATTTTAAAATTGGATAAAATTTTGTAGGAGTTCTTAAATTGCATTTTTTAATATGTTAATACTTATGGCTCTAAAAGAAAAAAAATGGAAGGAATACTTGTGTTCCAAATCATAAAACTATAAAGATTCTTTGTGTCATGACATATTTTACTGTTCAAACTTTTTGATGTCAACTTTAGAAGTTTACTCTTACAAGCATTAAAGCATTACATGATAATTTTTTCTCATTTAGATAGGTCTTCTTTAAAAAAAATTCCCCTTTTTAAGAAGTTACATGGAGCTTTGTAAATTCATAAAGTTTGTCTTATATTACAGGGGAAAAAAGTTGTTCCGTGTAGACATGACTGGCATCAAACTGGGGGTCAAGTCACAATTTCAGTATATGCTAAAAATTCACTTCCAGAACTTAGTCAAGTAGTAGCAAATAGTACATTGGTAAGTACATAAAGATTTCTGAGTAAAAAGTATCTTTACACATTTATTCTTTATGTTGATGTAATATTGTTCTTATCTGAACTGGCTTTAGGGTAAGATCTTTTCATCTTTCCCATTTGAAAAAATAGTTTGAAATTTTACAGGAACTATTTTAAATGAAAATTTCTACATAATAGAGTTATTTGAAGCATTCTGGAGACACTGTAGTAACTTAGAAAATGTATTAAATAATATGGTACTTAGTTCTCTCAATGGGAAACTTCAGATAATTTTTCTTTTCTGTTAATGATGTTTTTCAGATAAAAAGTACAATTGGCAGCTTGTTAAAATGGCTTAAATGATTTTTATCGATATATTCTTATTTTCATAATCATTGTTTTATATCATAAACCTTGAGTTTGGATTTGATCAGTTATTCAGCTTTCTATAAATATCTTTTTCAGTTAAATGTACACATTGTATTCGAAGGAGAGAAGGAATTTCATCAAAATGTGAAATTATGGGGTGTAAGTATTATGAATCCAGCATAATAATTTAAAATACCATTTGTATAATAAAAGGCAGTACTTTAGTAATTATTCTAACCAAAAAGTTGAAATCTAGGTATTTAAATGGCATTAGAGTCTTGGATTTTTTTTATTATTAAAATAGGTAAGACCAGTATTTTCCTCTAAGACAGCCATGGTCAAACTACGGCCCGCGGGCCGGATCCGGCCTGTTTGAAATGAATAAAACTATTGAAAAAAAAGACCGTACCCTTTTATGTAATGATGTTTACTTTGAATTTATATTAGTTCACACATATACTCCATCCATGCTTTTGTTCCGGCCCTCCGGTCCAGTTTAAGAACCCATTGTGGCCCTCTAGTCAAAAAGTTTGCCCACCCCTGCTCTAAGACTAACTACACTACCCAGGTTTACTTTAATTCTCTTTGATATTTTGCAGGTGATTGATGTAAAGCGAAGTTATGTAACTATGACTGCAACGAAGATTGAGATCACCATGAGAAAAGCTGAACCAATGCAGTGGGCAAGCCTTGAACTGCCTGCAGCCAAAAACCAGGAAAAGCAAAAAGAAAATAAAACAGACTAAATTGAGAGGGAATAAAAAGTTATTGCCTATTTCAGAATTCTTAATATGTGGTGAAGTAGTCGCTTGCTGCTGTAATCTCTTGTTATAGTTGAATCTGGTATTTCAGGGTCAACAGTGTAGGTTCTTAAAAGCCAAAGTCAGTTTATCTTTTTGTGCCTCCTTTTATTTTTTATTTTTTCGGTTTAAGATTGATTATTCATTTCTCCTCACTAATGGAACTATAGTTGTGTCCCATACTTGAAGAAGCTAGAAAATAGCTCATAAGTAGAGTAGTTCTTAGTATAATATTGTGTTAAAAGATACATAAAGTATCATCTCTTTCTATTCCATAATTAGTAAAGCAAGATGGAATGTCAGTTTTTTAATTAGTTTTTTCATGAGTTTGTGTTCCTATAATACTTGAAAATCTTTCTTTAAAAGTTAAAGCTCAACAATGTTTTTTTCCACTCGGACGGTTAATTTCTGTAGGAGGATTAATTGTGAGGTAGTGTAGTAACTAGTTAAGAATATATGAATTGATTAATAAATTGCAATTTGTTTGCAACTAATTGCAAAAACTTTATATCAATACCTATATTACTTGTAAAGCAGTATCACTTAAGAATACAGGAAACGTTATAAATAAAAAATATAGAGGTATGAATTTGTTTAAAATTCATCATTTTATAAGACTAAGCAATAATGTTAAATATCTCCTGATTATTTATAAGGTCTTGGTATGGTGTGATGGCTAAATTGTATCTGAATCATAGGCCACACCCTCTTAATATTTTTAATTACATATAAAGAGAAACTAAATATATATATCTGGCTTTCCTGATGGTAAACTATATAAAATTATAGAAGTACATTAGGGAAATACACTAGAGTTTCAGAAAACTAAATATTTTAGCTTTGCTTTATGACAGCTATTACATGTTAAATAAAATAGCGTAATTATTTTATTGGGGTTTTTTTAGGCTTTCATGAACAGTTTGACAATTCTAGGTGATACAATATTGATTATATATTGTACTTTATTAAATAAGTATCACAGTATTAGATTGTTTATACTTATTGAACCCATTAAGGGATAGATTACTTTTTGAGGTAGTGCAAAGCTCACGAAGAAAATGAAAGAAAATGTTATGAAGGCCAAAACTCTGGCAG